TTCTGGCAGTTGCCAAGCAAGAAGAATTAAATCATCTCTTCTAAGATGTGTCAGAAACATACCACTTTTTAGAGCCTCCATCAAAAATTGACAAAGCATTAAAGCAGCAGCCCAGGGCAGAATCAAGAAATACCACAGGTTTGTCAGCACAGCCTGTGGCCAAGGTGGAGAATTTACATACATCTTCCGGCTGTAAAATCTGTTCATTTCTTCTACAAAAGCCATTGTTACAGAACCAAAGTCTTTTTTTTTTTTTTCCCCCCTGCCACCAGTGAATAGATTGTTACACTTGAAAAAGTTTGCAGTTTTGCATAAAAGCATCCCAGCTGAAATGTATTTCCATAGCCGAGTACTGTGTGGAGGAGGAAGGTTTGGAGAGGGTCTTCCAGGTCTTTTTCCAAAGTGCGCATCTTGCCATTGAAAACACTCTCTGACTTCATCGCTGCTTTGCAACTCTGTCATCCGCCGCCACGTGTAGGTGTCGGAGGGCGGCTGGCGCCTGCTGCAGACTCGCTCTCCTGTCTCCCCTCGCTCCGCAGTTCCTCCTGCCGTTAGCAGTTCGTTAGGAGATGGGACTCCTTCTCCTGCAGGCTGGGGTGAGGAAGAGCCCAGGATGACCCACACAGGAAGGTGCAGTGCTTGGGGGATTCGGTATATCAAGGCATATTAGTTCCAGAGCAACTCTTTGTAAGTGAGCCACAGCTTGGTGCGGCCCTTGTGCCATCGATGGATTAGCCACAGGGCTACACGTTTGGCCCAGTGACTGGGAAACAAGCTGAGCCTGCCCACAGCTCTCCAGCATGGCCCCTCTGGAGCCAGCAATGCCCAGGCCTGTCCAACGCCCACCGATAACCGTGCCGATGGCCCTCCTGCATAATGCCGTGGGATGCGGAGCCCAGAAGCAGAAGCAGAATAGCTGCCTGAAGACAGGCAGCATGTTTTCTCCACCCAGAAATGTTTGACTAGGTGAATACGCTTCAGCAAGTTAAGCAACTTAAATCATCCCAAATGTGTGTAAGTTCTACCGTACTTGTTTTGTTAGTGGCTCATAAGGAGAGAGCACTGATATGTTAAATGTTTCCTAAGCCAAAAAAGAAGAAAAATCCATTCACTGCAGCCTGAATACCTTTGATTTATGAATCTCTGATTCATCCTGACAGCTACTTAAAAATTCATGTCAAACTCTGCATTAATCTTGGCCAGAAAAAGAAAAGAAATGTGTTAGGTAACAAGAGTGGCACAAAAAGCAGTTACCGTTGTGGGTGTGTTTAAGGAAAGGCATCGTTAGCATTTAACTCACCAGAGACGCATCAGTACATATTAGCAGATACTTTCTCTTTTTTGAAGTCTGTTGAACAAATGTGTACTTGGGCGTAGAAATGCATCTCTAACGTTGATGTCTCATTACATTATTTCCCTTCTTTAATGTGTATAGTTTTCATGTATGTCGGAGCTTCTCGTGTGTCATTAGATACTGAAACGGAGATAATACAAACATTTTGTTGTATAAGAGAGGAAAGGGAAATAAATTACTTTCTCTTTCTTTCTTTTTTTAATTTTCTTCCCAATATTGAGCATATTTGAGATTAAAAATTAGCTTAATGACTTGATTGATCAAATAGCATTCTCTATAGTGCCTTGGAGAAATTATCATAAACTCAATAAAGTGTTTAAAAAAAATTCCTGATTATTATTTATTGCTGATTTGGTTATTTTTTTCCAAGAATGCTGCATTACAAATGGTGATGTTTTCCAAGAAAATAACCAGATAGCCTGAAATTTGAATATATTAAGGGTTTGAATAAATAAAAGCAGCTGCTTTCCTCTTGCAATAGCTGTGTCTCCCACTTTGCATTTCTAAATGCAGTTTTACTTAGCATATATCCATGGCAATTTACTTAATATCTTGTGGTTTTTAAAGTATCTTAAAAGGCCCTAGGCCCAAGGTGGCAGTAGACCATCCTGGCAGAGAGACGTAAGGAGGAGAGAGCAGAGAAGGGAGGCGTGTGGCTGCGCTCCTATTCAAAACCGGTTATGTTTCCACCATGTGAATTGAAGCCAGAAAGCTGCACTGTAGCTTAATCAGAAAGGGCAGGTGATGAAGAACAGGAATGAGGTTAAATTTTTGCAGGAGATCACAATTTTTTTCTCCCTCTTTTTCATTACTTTACTATTAAAGAAAGATAGGACATTACTGTGGGGTGCTTGTTTTATTATTACAAAAATAGTAATTTCATAATTGAACAATTGAATGTGATTCTTTGTTTGCAACATGTCATATCTGGCCTGTGCCCATTATTTACAGTTCTCCAGAAATATACTAAGCTATATTCAGTTGAATTAAACATAATTAAACATGTTGTTAAAGTTTTTAAAGAAATTTAAGATTCAAGATAATTAAACAGTTAAGATACGACCTATATTTTCTACTGAAAACGTTTTTGTCTTATCTCCCATTTTTATAGGCTTTCAGGTAACATCATTTGTACAGTGTCCCAGGTTGTACTGAAGATGATGTTAGAGGTCCGTACTGGACAAGTGAGTGGGTCAGACTGGTGGCTTTTGAAAGGAGTTGATGAAATTCATTTCAGTATTTTTGGCTGTGGGATTTTTCACTATGGGTTCTTTTTGGCTATGTGTGAGGTCGTTGCTTTGGTTTTCTTGTAGAGTGATTTTAAAAATTTTGTTTTCTTTAAAGAAAGGGAAGAGAACAAAGGAAGGCATGTGGACAGCTAAGCACTGCTCCAGACAATTTGTCTTATTGACTGCAGGAAAATTACTGGCATGGCACCAGTGCCCTTCTCAGCCACTTTGAGACTTGGCAAATTCTCCCTAGGCTGTTAGGGTAATGTTTGCCATTAGCCTTTTGTAATAAACAGGTATCAGAAGAGTTGCAGAGGTAGATTTATCTTGGCTGCTGAAGGTGGGCTCTTACTAGACAAATAAAGGGAAATAGCTGAAAATGATTAATGCTTTATGGAAGAGTATCAGCAGAAAGGTTAAGTTTCCTATCATGAATATCTAAAACTCTTGACTCGGCCAAACTATTGATTTCCCCCTATTCATTGACTGGCCTGTTTATAATCAGGGAAGTGTTGTAATGGAAGGTCTCACAAGAGGAAGAGTGGTGCAGTTTGTACTTCTGCTCCAAGACTTGAAAGAGGAGGGTTCGGGTCCCAGCTTTGCAGCAGATTTTGTGTGTGAGTAGCAACAGTCTGTCACAGCTATTTCAGTACCTCCAATTGATCCAGGCACCCAGCAGAATTTGGTAAAGTTTCCACCACGGTCAGTGTTTTACATTGAATGCCACCCACCTATCTGCTTTAGTATATCTGAACTCCTGCTAGACACCTCCTGGTCTTTAGCATCTAAATACCTTTGAAAACCTGGTTTATACTTCCCAGGGGTTTTCGGTAGAGAAATGTCTGTGCCGGACCGTGAGGACCAGGGCACAGTGCTGCACAGGTGAAGCTCAGGTCGGATATCAGCTTGGAGGGGGATGCTGTTGGAAACGCAAGTCACCCTCTCACATCTCCATTCGCAGCCCAGCGATCCCTTCCCACCTCCACGCATGTCCTGAGGCAGGCAGCACTTTGTCCTCCTGCCACAGTCAAAATACAGGTAGCCGTGGGGTTAACACCATGCTGGCTGATTTCCTGGGATTTCAGCTGGAATTCTGAAACCCCACCTTCAGACACCCCCAGTTTGTACCTTTCTTTCTGAATGTCAGTTTGTGATCATTTCATATGCTGTTTTTTCTAGCACGTTTCTACATTAAAATACATCCTGTTTGTCCTTAGCTGCTTAGTACAATTCAGGATTTGACTATTGCAAAACATAGCTTACGTGTAAAATTTGTCTACATACTGGCTTTGTGAAGTGGAAGAACAGAATATCCCTAATATTAAACCATAAAGCAGTGATAGTTTATTTATAAAGCCAGAAAAGGCATTTAACAAGCTGCCCAATCCCAGATAATTTCAGACGGTATTTGTCATGTACATAGGGGACATAAAATTATGAAAGGAAAATAATTTCAGCAGCGTGTGATGCAAGTAAAATGAAACAGCACTGTACAGAAAGGAAAGCTGGTGCAGAGTCGAGGCTTGATAGATCGGTGGAGGGCCCGTTTCACAGGGTCGTGACTTCAGAAGGATTGACAGGACTGTAGGAAGTCCCTGCCCCATCCCATTAGTGGACACCCCTTTGCTGCCTCGGCTGTGCTGACTTGCGTCCTTGTGGGGCCATGCTGCAAACTGTGTTGGGGGCTGATCCGGGCTGCAGTAGCATTTTCTTGTGGAATAAAACAGTGCTCTTGACTTTAAACTTGCATCAGTTAGCAAGTCCAGCTCCCAGCACGGGCTCCCAAACATCTGCATGGGCTCGGGCTGTGGGGAGCCTCTGGCAGCATGGGGCAGCGGGTGAGCTGGGAACGTGTCGAGCTGCTCTTGTCCCTGCAGGCTTCTCCTGTTGCCAGCCCCGGGCGAGGGCAGTGATGCTTTGGTGCCTTTGGGCTATGAAACCATATGGGGATCTGTGATTGAAAGTATTTCTGATCTGAATACGGAGTTTGGAGGGGCTTCTCTGACAGCCTCGTGACCCTGCAAAATGGGCCATGATAAATGTATATGGAGTGTTGGATGGAAGGATGCTGGCTGCAGCATGTCTCCCTTCTGCAGTGCTTACAGCAATATCAGCTAGACAAGCCTCAGTAGCACTGGGAATCTGTGTTTATGTCAACTCATGAAACACATTTTATGTATCTCGCTGAGATTAGTTTATAGAAACACACTGTGTAACTGGTTCCAGTTGAAACCTTCACCAGATCCATCTGACTTACCTCTTGGTGAAAACCAGCAGGAGAACGGGGACCTTTTTTGTTACTGTTTTGCCTTTTTTTTTTTTTTTTTTTTTGGCCTTGCCACATCCTTTTGTCATTTTATTACGTGGCAATCACTTGTTTTACTTAAGGTTTCTTTTCTCTCTCTCCTGTCTGATAGGCCTAGAAGATGTTGTAGCAATAATGATTCCTGAACCCAAAGGAAAAGAGATAGTGAGCCTCCTGGAGAGGAACATTACTGTGATGATGTACATAACCATCGGGACACGCAACTTGCAGAAGTACGTCAGCCGGACCTCTGTGGTGTTCGTCTCCATCTCCTTCATTGTGCTGATGATCATCTCGCTGGCATGGCTGGTCTTCTATTACATCCAGCGATTCCGCTACGCAAATGCCAGAGACAGAAATCAGGTGAGCAGTGCTGGCATGGCTGTTTGTGTGTTTCCAAAAAATCACCATGGGATTCAGCTTGAAAGTAAAATTTGAGGAAATTGTGAATGTGTGGTAAAAAAAAAAAAAACCACAAACAGACAAACAAAAACAAACCCAAGGAAGTGGAAAGAATGGGGATATAAAAATACCTGTGTTTGGGGAAAAAACAAGACTTGTGTCAATATAGATGGGATTCAGGAAAAAAGAAATTAATAAATATAGTGTATATATATTATGGGTTTTTCCACCGTGCAAAACACAAAAAATAGACAGAAAGTTGATAATGTTTATTAATTAAAAGATTGCCTTGGTACATATAGCCAAGTGACACTGAAATGTATATACTAACAACCCTTGAGATCAAAATGATGACTAAAATGTAGTGAGGTATGTGAACATCTGTGTGTGAAATGAGGGTTCACAGTAAGTGAAGAAAGAAAAAAAGAACAGAAAGTGTTTTCATGTTAATACTTCTTTAGAAGGGTCTTGGGCTCGAAAGGCCAACATGGCTCTGTTCATTTGTCAATGATCACTGAACACAGAAGTGCTGTAATGATAGCCACCAATATTATTAAACCATTGCTTTTGGTTTTGGCATCTTGTCCAAACCCCCTGAAAGAGATACAAAACCTGGAGAGAAGTCAACAGCAGTGGGAATGAGCCCTAGGTCCCGAGGCCCTCTGGATTTATAGAGCACCGTGCATCTTTATGGTAGTTCAGCAATGAGTAATAATAGCAATGATAATAATAAATTTAATCTTTTCTTGTCTGGATGCAACTATCTCGGCATCAGCAGAACTGTGAAGCTGAGGCTTCTACATTTCATTCTAATGGTACAGTAGAAAATTTTATCAATGTATGAAATCTGAGGAGATAACCATTTTACTGCAGGGGAAAAAAATGCACTGTAATTCAGAGATGTTTCTGGACCCTTAATAAATTACTGTTGGGGCAGGGGGAGAGTTGCCTTGCTTGCTCTGCAGAAAAAGTAAAACTGAGAGTGTTAATAATCATCTTGTAGAGAAGAGTACTGCCACACACTTTGTAATGTATACTTAACGTATAGGGATCCCTCACCCATTGAAATTCAGGCATCCTCTGAGATAGAGAGCAGCTGCTCTGTATTTACAGACAGAAGGAATATATTTTCCTTTTAAATATACAGTATGAAATTTTGGATAGCAAGAATGAGACTATCCCAGCTGGAATTTGAACATCACTGGCAGCAGATTCGCTGTGACTGTAACGGCTGTGATAATTTTTAGATGCTTTGGCTGCAAAAGCACATGTGTGCCTAATTTATGTATGTGAGTACCGTAAGCATGCTTTCAATCAAGTAATTATACAGGCAGATTAGTAGTGTAAATAGACATATGTAAACATGAAACCCAGCAACATAAGAAGCTCATTCAGGTAATATGCTATAGTTTGGAACTGATAGGTTTATATATTCAAGCAGACTTCCTTTTCAGTGTTGTCTTTCCAAAGTTTGAACAAGACTAACACGTGCCCAACCAGTTGTCCTGTGCAGAGGTTTTAATAACTTTGTTATTATACTAGTTCTGTTCTTCAGAAGAATAAGAAAGGATGCCTCCTAAGCAATTATTTATTACTAATTTTTTGCCAAAGCTGTAGTAATGATATGGGGCAAACTAGAATTTTTCATGTACTTTCTTCATTCAGTTTTGCCTGACATGTCCTCTAATCTCTTTATTAGCTCTTTTCATATCAAAAATGGTAGTGATATACAGACAAAGCTTGACCATTTGTGTTAATGAATTGCCGTGGTTTGGTTTTTTTCTCTTTTACTCCTAGCTATGGAATATAATGATGTAGGTAGTTCAGAAGAGCTCAGCTTGCTCTTGCCCTTTCCATGAGGGTTCCTCTCTGTTTCCCCTAAAGTTCTGCTTGTTGGTTGTTTTTATTTCTTTGACACGTTTTCTTGTAGCACAAGGATGGGATCACAAAGTTCTATGTTAGTGTCTTGGATATTCAGATATATGCAAGAAAAATTGTTTGTGTTGCTTTGCTGGAGCAAGATTCTTTTGTTATTACGCTCAAAAGCTTTTGCCTTTATAACTTGCATGTCTGTTTGTATGAAGGTATTGTGCTTACTTGTTGGAAAGCCTTGCATGTGTTGTAAGCACCTTCATTGCTGGCCAACTTTAGGAAAGATGCTTCCTTCTATTTGTATTTGATGTACTCAAGCTAAAGTTTATCCAAAGGTTGAAATGTTTGGATAAACAGCACATCAGATGAAGGGGGAGCCAGCTGGCCTATTCAGAGAAGGTTGTGCTATCAGTTCCTACCCTGCAATGCGATAAAATCTCACTGTGCAGACTGACTGCCCTGTTCTGAAAGTGTGAAAAACTGTGACTCATTTATTAGACTTCAGTTAAAATTAAAAAAAAAAAAATTTAAAAAGCTTAAATTCATTTTGACATCTGAATGATTTAAAATCCCACAGTTTTAAAACAAGGGCTTGTGAGGGCCTATGTTTTCTGTGTCAAACAAGAACCTATGCCTACCTCTCTCATGCATGCCCTTCCTAGGTTTGGCTGATACTGGAGTTGCTACCAGGAGCAGTTCAGCCTCCTCTGGATCGGTAGTGTGGGCACTGTGCTGAGGGAATGGGACAATGTGGCTGACTGCAAAATATGATTGGCAGAAAAAGCCATTATCTCCAAGCAGGAGGGGTGTTGCACTGTTACATGAAAGCAAGATTTCTGAACATCTTTCCTTGGTCACTCCAAGTCTCCCTAAGTCATCTTCCATTTTGCCTCTTCCAAGCTGACCCATTGCAACTATGTCTTTCTCTCATGAAAAACATGGTGTGTCCTTTTGTCAAGCCTCATAACCACCTTTGCCTCCTTGTCCTCTTTTATATGGTGACCCTCCTTTCCCGGTCCTCTTCCCTTCATGCATACAGCATAAGTTGCTGATCAAGCGGTAAGCCCAAAAGGAACTGATTTAATTATCCATCAAGAAAGCAACGAGTCCAGCTAGTGAGAGAGGCAGCTAGAAAGACTGAAGAATCTCCTGGAACCATTTCCTGTGGCTCCCCAGTGAGATGAAACCTGGACATACAGCATGTACATCTTCAGCCACCACTCCTCCTCACCATGTGTGCAAAATCCAGGTTCATGTGCCAGAAGGAAGACACAGCTCGCTCCAGTTAGGTGCCTGATTTTGATAAGCGGAGAATCAGGACTTCAAGGATTCTCGCTGAATGCCCTTGCCTGTTCATCCCAACTTGGCTGGGAATTAATGCAGTGGAGCGCAAAACTCTCTTCCATTATGGACTTGTGCACCTGCAGCCAGGGTGTCAGCTACAAATATGGTTAGATTTCAATTTTGATTTTAATACATTTAATTTTTAAGAGTATCTCTAGCACAGGCGACTGTACGGTACATGTGGAAGAAGAAGATAGGTAGTAATATTCACATGGATGAAAGTCCAAGGCCTCCTCTTTTTTTTTACCACCTAACAAGCTGTCCAGGAAGTAGGTGGTTGCCCTGATGATACACCCTTTTGATATGAAGAGGATAAATTTGTGTAAGGAAAGCATAGGCAATCTGCTTCCTCAGCGGCTTGTTCCTGGAGCCCTCCTGAAGATGAGAGAGTTTCTCTGTGAAAGACTATGGGAATTGTTTGCATCAAGAGACATCAGGTTGCAGAGTTAATTGAAAGCAGTTTGGAATTACATGGCAAGTTAAGTCCTGGAGATAATTCAGCAAAATGTGACTTGCTGTTTTAGCCCTGTAACAGCCAGGGCACAGGCTTAAAAAACAAACAAACAGTGTGTCAGATTTCATATTTCACCAGTAATAGTGGAGTTCTCTTTTTGTCATCTGTGAGGCGTGAGATGGGAAGATGGCAAGGGGATGATGTTTAAGTGCCAGACCTGTTGACCATATTTCCTCCGTGTCATTTCTTCCCATTGGTTTCTTGTTAAGAAGTTGTTTTCTGTAAAGTCATTTTGAAACCAGGTGGGCTCCGTGAGTTTTGCAGGACAGTGAAAGCCAAAGCAGGCAGTGATTGCACTGGGGCTGAGGAGGGTCATGTGCATCCTGGGTTAATCTCCAGTGAAGGATCTACTTTAGTATGTGACTGGCAGCATGTGGAGGGTCAAGCAATTGTCTGAGAAGGAAGACTGCTGGCCATGGCTTTGAATGAGAGTTTGGGGCCATTGAATAGAGACATCAATCTTTGAAGCAGTCTTGGGAAGATGCTTTCCATGATGGAGTCCGCAAACTTTATCTGCGGTACAGGAGATGTGTCTGATACCTCGTCCTGGTGGTGCGCTTCATTCTGCACAAGGTGATCTCCCTGCGAAGGTGATAGTTTAGTAAGGCCATTAAGAGAGAAGCCCTTACTGTAACTTCTCTTCCACAGCATCTACCGTCATTTACTTCCTCAGGAACAGACAAGTGATGCTTTCCATGCTACTGTCCTTTCTTTTGAACTAGTATCACCGTGTCCACAAGACCACTGCATCTGATATGCTTAACTCCTTCCAGTCCAGTACTGAATGTTGCAGCCTTGCTAATGAGATTATGAGATTTATGGTTGTAAACCTCTAAGCCTCACTTTAGACCCTTAAACTATTGTAATGCCTCTTATCTTTTAGGGGAAATCATTGGTTAGTGATAGCATGCCTTTCGTTCAAATGGAATAATCCTTTGAAATTATGACTTTACTCCAAGATATTCCTGTTCTTTCAAAAACTAAATTATTCTCATTTGCATGTAAGTTGGGAACTTGTCTATTTAAGCTAGATGAGAGAAAGCAAACATGAAAACAAGCAGATCAAAGATGTACGAGTCTTTAATCTTGTCCTTTCCCCTTGAAGAATGTGCAAAAAAGAACTGAGACATTTCATTAGTTTAAGTAAGAATAATGATAAAAAGAAATCACAAGCAATTCCTGAAGCAGGACATAATGGCTCTTGTCTTGCTGTATGTTATCAGTCTGTCTTTGATTTACATTAATTAAACAAATAGCTGGCAAGAAATGTTTCCAGCTCTCGTCTGATCCCTTTATTTAAGGGAGACTGTGAGAAAAATGTACCACAGAAAAGATGTTGTATAACTACAAGATACTCCCTCACGTGTAATAATTAGTTATGCTGGAAAGCTCATATGTAAATCTCATATGATAGCCAAGATCATTTTCACCTCTTTAGCGAGATCTGAAATGGCTCTCTGCTTTCAGTATTGCATGCATTTTGTCAGTCTTCCATGTCTTTCCAATCCAATAAGCTTACTCTCTCAATTTAATTCAGTGGTTTTAATTGAATCTGAAGAACAAAATGGTAATTTATTAATTGTATCTGTATGGTGATTAGGTCTCAATTTACAAACTACATCCAGCTTCCTTCCATTTTTGGCTTCATGCTCTGGCCCCCTCCAGCTGGAAACCCCTCCCGCTGACAGGCCCTTCTGAACTCCGGCACGGGCAATGTTCCCAGCCCGAAAAGTTGAATGTCTTCTGAGTCACCAAAGCTCCCAAGTCTCCCTCCTATCTAACAGCACATGGCTGGAAACATGGATGGGGAGGGGAGGTGAAGAGAAGAGTTTGTCATTTATTGGTGGCATATTGGGATGCACTGTATCATGAACTGTTATAAAACTGACAAGACATCGGAGTAGGTGTTGCTGCATGAAACTGTACAAGAAAGGCATGAAAAAACTGGCAAGAGCCCAGAGGAGGGTCACCAGTATGGTCTGGGGACAGGAGCATGCGGCATCTGAGGAGAGGCGGAGGAAGCTCGGCTTGCTAAGCCGGGAGGAGAGCAGAGGAGGAGGAAGGGCTCTGCTTGCAGCCTTCAGCTGCATAACGGGGTGGTTTGAGAGGAGGCAGAGTCAGACTCTTCTCGGAGGTGCACAGAGAAAGGACAAGGGTAATGGTCACAAATTACAACAAGGGAAATCCATTTGTATGCGGCATCTGAGGAGAGGCGGAGGAAGCTCGGCTTGCTAAGCCGGGAGGAGAGCAGAGGAGGAGGAAGGGCTCTGCTTGCAGCCTTCAGCTGCATAACGGGGTGGTTTGAGAGGAGGCAGAGTCAGACTCTTCTCGGAGGTGCACAGAGAAAGGACAAGGGTAATGGTCACAAATTACAACAAGGGAAATTCCATTTGTATGTTAAAAAAAAAAAAAAAAGACTGTGAGAGTGGTTAAGTACTGGAACAAATTATCCACAGAGGTTGTGAAATCTCCCTTCCTGGAGATATTCAGAACTTGACTGGACACAGCTCTGACTTTGAAGTTGACCCAGGCTTGAGCCGGGGGTGGGAGTACATGACCTCTCAAAGACCTTTCCAGCCTGTGAGTCTGTCTCCAGATCGCCTCGTTGTTGGGTTAGCACAAGTGAGCAGCCAGGTCCTTGGAGCACTGATACAGGCACAAGCTCAATAGCACAGGGTGCAGAGCTAGCTCTGCTGAGCAGTGATTGTATGAACTGCCCCATAATGTTCTCAGCCTCTTGCAAGAGGCAGGCATCTCCATCTTCAGCGTTTGAGAACAGGGTGTTTTGCGTCAGGCTGTCATTACATACTTCAATCCTGAGTGGCTGTGACCCTGCCAGCACAGTAACAGTGTTTTGGAAATATGGGAGAACAGTCAGAAACATCACGTGGTAAGCAATTCATGGCACACTGGAGGGAAAGATAGAAAGGCAAAGAACAAGCAAATGGTTATGCATGGATAGGATGTTACTGCAGGACTATATAGTGCTTTACCTGTAAGAAACTGCAGATGCTTTCCTCTCATTTTTATGCCTTGCATTCTTCCTATAAAATAGGCAACTCTGTATTGCAGGAAAAGAGAACAGCAGAGATGATTATTCATGTTTTTCATGGTTAACAAATTAACAGCTCACTTTCAGCACTTACATCTTGCTGAAGATCATGAACTAGTTCTGGAACAACATAAGAATAAAGACCTTCTGAATCTTAAGTCCAGTGTTCACTCTGCTTACTAGTTCAGGCCTCATTTAATAATGTCTTTTTTACAAGTGTCATTAAAAAAAGAGAGGGAAGGAGTACGATACCCAAATAGTGGACTTGTTACATACATTGCTACTCACTGGAATAGTAAAGGTGCTGTAGTGTAGCATCATGACGGCCTCACGTGCAGACTCCACTGGAACTCCATTAGGGTAGCTTTGCCTCATCAGCCATGGGTTACCAGCGAGCCTAGAATACCTACTGTGCCCTTATTGTGAATAACAGCATGACTGACCTCATCTGTTTATATTTATACAGCACTGTCCTGTCTCATGTACAGTCACTTCAGATTATTAAGAAGCCTAGGGAGAAAAGGTGATGATTTCTGCATGAAGAGATACTCTTTGCTTAAGAGCAAATTTTGTATTACAGCGCCGGCTTGGAGATGCTGCAAAGAAAGCAATCAGCAAGCTGCAAGTCAGAACAATCAGGAAAGGTGATAAGGTAATTTTTCAAATTGCTCATTACCAAATGAAACTCTGTACTGAGGATTCCTTCAGACCACTGGGACAATGAGGCAGAACAGAAATGGCAATTGCTTATTTATCTACTATGTGTCCTTCAGGCGGGGGAGGAATACTGGTAAGCAACTTACAGATGGAATGGAGTAGAGAGAGAAGGTGATTCTGTGAAGATGCAGAAAATCCTGAAAGTTAAAACATGCTAACTAAATCTGCATGCTTCTGAGGGCAAGTTTCCAACTGGAAACATGTTGGAAAATCTGACTTGCTTGTCTGGAAATGCATTATTGGATTTGCAGCATGCATTAGTGACCGGTTTACTTTGTCACATAGGCTCTTGTATGAAGAGATTAGCTGACAAAATCAAAAAATGAAAATGATGAACGTTCTCTTTCCTGTAGGAAACTGAGCCAGACTTTGATAACTGTGCTGTTTGTATTGAAGGCTACAAGCCCAATGATGTTGTCAGAATTTTGCCTTGCAGGTAAGTTGAAGGTGTTTTTAGCTCTGATAGTCTCTCTACTTCAAGACAGGCTCTGTTCTCACAGTATCACGCTGATGAGATGACCTGAGAGCTCGGGGAGGGAAGGGTAAGTTTATAATTTTGATTTATTCAAAATCTGTTCTATAAAGATATCTGAAATGCCTCTTTATTCGACTTGAAATGAAAGTAGTATTAATGGTGGTGAGAACCTGAATTTAGCATGATAGTCAGAAGTTTTGTCTGATCTGGACCTATTACAAAGTCTTCAGTAGGGTTTTCAAACTAAAGGTTTTGATTCCTCTATTTTGCTCACTGGTTTTATATCAGTCTTGAATAACTCCCTTAGAATAATTTGCCCCTGACTTCAAGGTGTGCCATGGGCACAGCAGCCAGGGATAGAGCAGGCTCCTGCTCCCCATGGAGCCACTTCTTTTGCTGTCCTGGGCCATGTCCAGGCACTGAGAAAGGGATGATTTCTATCAAAAAATACCCCAGCCATGAAAAGAGATATGCTGAGTAGAAACAGAAAAGCAAAAGGACTATGACAAAGACCACATTATCTATCGCTGCCATGAAAATATTCTCAGGCATGTGGGACATGGAGGTGACAAGAAGAGCTTTTGGGTTTGTTCTTTCTCTTTTCTTCCCATCACGTGAACATGCCCTGTGCAGCACATACACTTGCAGTGATGTGACACAGGAGCGCAGCCTCTTGCCACCCGTAACAGCTGTATTCATCTCTCTGTGCCATTGTATTGTCAGCTGTGAAGTGTTAGCTAATGAAGGATTTCTCTAAGGAAATCAATTTCTTAGGAAATTTCCTAGGAACAGTGGTTCCCCTAGGAAAGCAAGAGCAAGTGTTTGATTTCCCTGGAAATAGGAATCTCAAGTGCTGTACATACAGAGCATATTATTTTTTTTTAATAGAGTTTCTTTCTTCTTCTGCAGACATGTTCACTGGCCTGAAAAACTGAAATATTTGTTTCTTCTCCTGCTATGTTGTTCCCTCGTAGATATTTGAATGTTACAAGCTGTCCATTTCTGTTCGTTCATGTGACTCATTAGATCTTTTTACTGCCATCATTAAATGGCAAACAAAAAGCAACAGATTAATCATAAATTTGACCTACTATAAATCCCCCACAATGACAAATTGCATGTGAACTCTTTTTTTTCTATGAGCAGACACAAACGCATCACTTCATGAAGCAGAAATAAAGAAAAATGAGAAATTACCAGAAAATGTGGACCTTGGTTTGACATCAAGCCTGTTTTCATAGAAGCATAATAAAGCTTGGAAATTTTGCATGATAGAGACAGGCAGTTTTTGGAGGCAGTTATACAACAGCAAAAAACATGTCTAAGCTCTAGCTTTCACTTGTGTCTTGCCTCATAATTCAATGAGGCTCCAGTCAGACTTTGTCATCCACAGTGTTGAGTCAAGCCGAGTGAATAGGAAACACATAGTTAACAGGTGATGTTCAGTTCTTGGCTGACTTAAAAGGTCGCCTAGAAAATGACTCATGCTGAAAGGTTAGCAGCAGCAGAACTGTCTTGCAAAATACTCACAGTTTGAGCTTCAGCAGTTTTGAATTATAAAAACTCAAAGATCTTTCTCAAGCAGCTACTTGACAAACCCTGGCTTTCCCGCTACACAAATTGTGAGGGCAGTATTTTACACATTCGCATGGGTTTGGACTTCCAAAACAGGAAATGGTAGTCATGATTCTTTCTGCTGTTGCCAGTCTCGTCTCCTCATCCAAGAAGAGAAAAAAAAAAAAAGTGGATTAATTTCTGTCTCTGTTAAGTGAGTAGGAGAGTGTTATATCTTGATAAAGACCTACAGACACTGTAGGTTTCTTCCTCCAGCATCCTCAGTTAAACTGTGTGCAGTTTCTAGTATGGGAACCTCATTAGACTGCTGTTTAATAAGAGGCTGGCATTTCACCAAGCCTTACAGAAGCCAGCACCATATGACACCAGTGCTGGCTGACCTTAGTGTTTCTATCCACGAGGTGCTCAAGATGTAGAACTTTTTACCTGCAAAGCCAAATACACCCCAGGAGCTGCACATGAAAGATGCTGCTTTGTACTGCAAGCAGTACTGGGAAAACCAGTGCTGGCAGGCACACTCTGTATAAAGCCCTGTATATCTTGAGATTTCTTTTTAAGGCTGGCGGAGCCTAAATCTCCTAAGAAACTGGTACCAAAAATCCACCAGCCAATATTGCAGTGGATGAGCTCTGAAGTTGTACACATACATGTTTACTGGTACTTGGGCTGTTTCCCCAAATGTCCTCTCTTTTCTGTTGGCAGAGAGCAGGCACTGGGATAGCCTGTTGTTACATATCCTACTCTGGAGAGCTAGGAGGAGGATTCCAGTTAACTTGTGCTTCTTCCTCTCTGTCTGTCCTCTTTAGCCAGCTCCCACACCTGACTGTATTAATAAACTTCACTCTACAGAATGTATTAAATAAATAAGGACTGACACTTGATAAAAAAAAGTGTTGGCTCGCAGCTGGTTTTATGTTTAATGGTAGCAAGTGTCACTGAAGTTATCTTTGAGGGCATTGACACAACATCAAATGTAACCAAGTTCATTGTTCCCAGAGTGACATCTCTTGTCATAGCCCTAGTTCCTTCTGCTTGTCCTCCATCTCTAGCTTCAAAACGCCTTCGTCTTTTCTGCTCTGGCTCTGGAGAAGTTACTGATGCTGCTGTTCCCAGTGTGTGCCTTTTACTAAACTTTTACTAACTTCACTAAACTTCTACAGAGAGGCAAGACAATTCTTTCAACCTCATCTCTACTGAGTTCTTCATAAGCTCTTTTTTTGGTTGTTTCATTTCTGTCACCAGTAAATGCGCTTTCTGACCCCATTCCAGATAGTTCCCTTCCCCTGAACCTTCACTCCATGAACAACTGTGATTTCAGAGACTGCTTCACTCTTCTCTGCTCTGGCTCTGGAGAAGTTACTGATGCTGCTGTTCCCAGTGTGTGCCTTTTACTAAACTTTTACTAACTTCACTAAACTTCTACAGAGAGGCAAGACAATTCTTTCAACCTCATGAGTTCTGAGTTCTTCATAAGCTCTTTTTTTGGTTGTTTCATTTCAGTAAATGCGCTTTCTGACCCCATTCCAGATAGTTCCCTTCCCCTGAACCTTCACTCCATGAACAACTGTGATTTCAGAGACTGCTTCACTCTTCCTCTCTCTTTTTTTTTTTTTAGCTTCCCATGAAAATTATTTCATCACACACATTCTTCCCTTTGATTCCTTCCTCTCACTTACCCTCATCATCATCTTCTTTTGTCCTTCCTTCTTCCTCAAAACTAAACAAATAATACCGTACATGCACCCCCAAAAGCCCAAACCTTCTCATTGGATACTACAGTGCTGCTTCGTCTCTCACCAAAACCCTTCTCAATGCTCTGCTTCAGCCCTGTGTCTAATCCAGGCAGCTAATGCTCTTACTCAGGGTCCCTAGGGATGTATCTCTCTCTCTGCTTTTGCCTCCTTTTCTCTTAGCTCACGCTTTTCTTCTGAGAAAAATTACATGACTGCTAGGTTTGTTTGTGTGCAGTTTGGAAAGTTGGGACTAGGAGTAGAAGGTGGGAGGAGAACAGTTTCCCTTAACCTGGGAAAAAAGCTTCTCAAAATTGTTGGCAAGCTGAAAGCTTTACAATAGCTTTACGACAGCTTTACAACAATCAAATTATAATAATAATTTTGGGCTGAGCCCAAAATGAAATTTTTTTTCTTTTATGATTATATTGCAGCTTTAAAGAAAATTTAAATACATTTCAAACAAAAGTAATCTCCAGTTAAAAAATACGAAGCGCTATTTAGATAACAGTGAATGAAATGCTCTGGGATTTTGAAGTTCTTTTTCTTTCTTTGTGCTCTCTGAGCTTTACGCAGCCACGTGCAGTTGCAGAGTCGCAGAAGAGTGCAGGAGGGATCCCAGGAGGCCACCACCTCCGGAACGGCACAGGGGCACTGGCCGTGCACGTGTCATTCTTGGGACTTTTTTCCAACACACTCTGCAGTCTCCTGGGATGAAGACTGTGCAAATTCCCCTGATAATTTATTGCAGTGCTTCGCTACCCTGACTGTGGTGAAGCTTTTCCTATTGTGTAACCTGGATGTCACTTGCCGCAGTTTGAACACATCATTGTGTCTCTTACCCCTAGGAGAGGTGAAGAACAGTTTTTTCCTTTCTCCTTATGGAAGCCTTTGTTTTGTATGAGGTTTCTTACGACATGTCCTCTCCTCTTGCCTTCCTCTCTCTCAACTAATCAATTACAGTTATTTTGAGAAACTTTTCAACCTATTCAAATCAACATAGTTTTGCAATGCGTGTGGTTGCACACAACAGAAAAAAAAACATATTTTTTTCTAGCTCTGACTTTGATTGTCAAGGCCATGTCCCGAGCCCATGCTTCAAAAATCTCTCTTACTGTCTCCCTGTATGGGAAGAAGTCATTACTTCTGAACTCATCCATGCCGCCTCTACCCTCTCCTTCCTTTTAAAACTTGCATCAGTCAGAACTGCAGAGGGAGAGGGATTTTTGTTGCAGTTCATCTTTTTATACCTTTGTCTTACCATGTGACAGTGAAATATTGCAGTGGCTCTCTCATCTTACTTTGTGCAGACCCTTATTTTGCCTGAATTTGGATGATAAACTTGTCAGGACGTCAGACAATTCAGAGTTTGTTGAAAGCCATGAGCATGTATGTAGTGCTGTAGCTAATAACGAATAAAATAAACTTTCAAATCCAAATCTGCAAAGCCCGCCACCTCACTTCTCTGCACAAATGTTTACGTGTTCAAAAATAGACGAGTGCTCTAATTATATAATGTGGTACAAAAATTTTAAAACGCAAATCTTTATCTGATTTTCAATAACATTCCATTTTTCTGTAGATTTCTGTCAAATAATCAAGTTCCTTCTGTTGTACATATTAAATCTGAAATTAATAGAGCCATAATACACTGTGCTAATTTAGTATTGAGAAGTGCAAAGTGACGAGATCTGTCATGTATTTAAATTACTCGGCATTGGTAGAATTTCTTTCAGAATATTGTTTTTTGAAGCCAACTTTAGGAACACTAAACTTCAGTTTTTAAAGTCTTTAAGGCATGAAAGTTCAAAGCTTTTGGTGATTAACAAACATTATGAAATGCTGTAATATGAACCACAGCTTGACTCAGGCTTGCAAAGCTTGAACTTGAAAACAAAAGGAGACTTTCTAGTCTATGGTAAAATGGCTTGATAGAAGTTACATATTTTTTTATCTGAAACAGACTTTGGAAATCTGTTTTTTTTTTTTTCAAGAGAATAATAAATATCTCAGATTTTGTAAATGATTACTGATTATTTGGCACAAATGTGCTTCAGATGTTTGCAGTTAAACATACTTGTTTATGAATTTGAGTATATAATATATATATATATTTGAGTATATAATTAAAGAAAACCTATCACTATCAAGAATTTCATAGTTATTTCAACTAGCTGAAAAGCAAAACATTGACTTTCAGTACCCTCCATGAATTAACACGCCCAAGGAATTCTGTTGCTTAGACTTCTAAATGTAAAATTACACATGCCTGAGGACTGTATCTTTATGCTTTCACCTATTCAGAATGCTTGCCTCATGGCGTGCTGAGTATGTCCCTCCTGAAATAAAAGGAAGGAAGAGTTATGCAGGACAGAGACCGAAATTTGGTGCATTGTGTTTTTACCCAGTAAAGCAAGTCTTGTTTGGAAGGAGGGTTGTGAACTTTAGTAGCCTTAGTAAAGTAGTGGTTTAAACTTCAAGTATCACGATACTTCATTTGTGTTAATCATGTTGACATACAGGATCAGATGAGGTTTGACAAAGTTTGGTATTGCAGCCAACTGATATAATTAGACGAGGTTGAACTTCCAAGAACAGATTTGCCCTTTTCCATCGTTGTGTGAAGTCAGACCAAGTACAGGAATGTGATAATTTGCCATGTAGTTTTGTTTCACAAAGGACCCGTTTCTTCTAGAAGCAGTGAGAAAAAACGTCGCAGTGAAAAGAAAAAGATTCTGAGATTTCACACAGTTTTGGCTTTGAATTTCTAGTGTTATTTAGGACTGAAGCCAGCTAGTAAGCCAGCCAGCTAGTGTGTGAGCCGATATCGTGTTAGTAAGAGCCAGGGTTGCAAATCGATATTGGTGAAAGCGCACCTCAGTATCTTCCATCAGGTTGAAAGGCTGTGTGTATCTTGTTGTGTGAGAGAGGCTGTGACACAATACAGCAGCCACCCCGTTCAGCTGAATACGTACCACTTAAATATTTAAAATTATTTTGGTGCATTAAGTGATCCTGGCTTTCTCGGAGATTGCATTTCCTCGTGGAGGCTGGTATGTGCCCTGCTCCAGGCGGAGCCTTGGGCAGCTGTGAGCTGTGTCCACCTGCGGTTACCTGGTGGGTTTGTATGGCTGTGTTCTACGAGCGATGCACATGGGGCAGTGACAGCACAGGGAAACACCGGCTGGGGACTGCTCAAATGTAAAAGTTCAAGCAGACTGAAACGTGACTTTCAGGCTCTGCCAAGTAAAATGTGGGACACCTGTTGCAAGCCTTAGAAAGGAAATTTAGAGCTGATCTATCTGGTGTTTCAAAACAAGCAAATGAGTCTTAGTTTGCACCTTTTGGAGCAAGACTGTGTATGTATATCAAGCCTCATATTTCAGAATAAAACACCCTCTTCCAATTTTGTTTAAGTTGTTATTATTATTAAGTTATATTGGGCAGTTGGAGTAAGGTCCTTTCCAACTGAACTATTTTATTCTATTCAACTAATTGACTAAAAGATTTTTAGGAAGGCAAGTCAATTTTCAGTTTCCTACATGCCAGTGTAATTTCTGAGGCTATGTGCATGGTAGGAAACTTTCCTCCTTTTCTTCAGAAGGAGTGGGGCTGAACAAACTTCACTGCCTTGGGCTGAGCCCCGACTCCTCTACTTGGCCTGCTCAACAGCATTTCTTAAATCCCGAGTCCCGCATTCCTGTGTTTTATAACATTTGTTCTCTATAACCACCGGGTAACAGAATATGCTTGCAAGAGAAAATACAATCTGTCAGTCAGGTACACACACTAAATATATTCAATCTCAGTTTGTGTCAGGTGAAGCTAGACAAGAAGCTTTCAGTTCCTCCACCTGGATAATGTCTAAGAAAAGCGGCCCCCAGCAGCCACAGGGCTCAGGTAGTTGCTTAGTGGTCACTTCAGACTGAGCACAGGATTAGCAACAACCCCTTCAGGGCTGGAATTGTTTAGGAGCTCACTCTGATGGGCAACTTCTAAAGAGCAGGAAAGTCAGGGAGAATGTTTTAAAAAGCATCATCCTGTTTTTTCCATTTAAATGAAAGGTAGCATTTTTTTTTTAATTCACTTTATTTCCTTATGCCTGCATCCTAAAAGATATCAGACCCCCAGTGGCTTCACATTTAAATTATGTGTAATCAGGTTTGTCTGTAGAACCATCAAGAAATACTAATGTGATTCTTACCTTTACCAGCAAGCAGGTTTTGTTTACTGACAGCCTTTAACATTTAAAGAACATGGGTTTTGCTGATGCATTCTGTGTATTTTTCCTAATTCTCTAATTATGTATATGTCTTCTTTTCCAACTCAGTTGAGCGACACTGTGCACATGTGCTTGAGATGCTGCAGAAATAATTTTAGTCCTGTGTGCATAGGGTATAGTTTTGCAGTCCTTGCAGAGGTCACAAACCACACCATTGAAATAATCTCACTTTACTGAATTCAGAATAAGCGTCTGGTACTAAGTGGTGAATTGTGCTGTGGTGGATTTGAATTAAAATACCCTGGTTTTCATTGCAGGCATCTTTTCCACAAGTCCTGTGTAGACCCCTGGCTTCTAGACCATCGTACCTGCCCGATGTGTAAAATGAATATTCTAAAAGCTCTAGGGATCCCGGTAAGCATGTCGCAGAGCAGCCGGTCGGGTCAGAAGGGAAACAAGAGCTACTTGGGTATATCCCTAGCCCTTTGCCTGTCTGTTCCCATCCTACTCTTCTTGCCATGTTATTGATTTATTAATTGATTTATTAAGGGGAGTACAAGCTGAAATGTCTGACTCTACCTCCCTCCTGCACCCCACTTTTATTAGCAAGGAAGAGTGCGTGTATGGAGGTTGCTTGGGTGTTGGGATTTGTGTGTCTGTGGTTGCCTGCTTTGTGGAGCAGAGGATTGTTTACTGGTGTTTTGGTGGATTTATAGATTCTTTCACATAGCTTTTGTTTGTGTTTTAAATCAGAACTGGATTTATTTTTTTAATCATGCTCTCAGTTCAAATCTCAAAGCAGAAGGTCTGCAAATAAAATTTTCCCTGCTATACTAGTCAAGGACAACTAATTGCTCATTCTGGGGAGCCAAATCTTTTTCTGTCAGATTTCTCTTAAAGTCTATCTGTGGCAAGCTCTGTACTCCTAATTCCAATTAGGGAGCATTTCTCCCAGTAACTAAGCATGTGGTGGACCACATGACACACAAGAAATTGTTAAGCTCTTTGTTATTTGGAACATTCAGATGTTAGAAGCTGCCAAAGCAATTGATCTTTTTAGGTTGCATGTTTACATTCAGATAGTGCGTGTCCTGTCTGCCATACAGTTTCCTGATGGCAGCTATCACAGAGATCAGGGGCTTCACCAGGAAGAAGTGAGTCACTTTCTCACACTGTGCGAGGCTTGCCACATGATAGTGAAGTTCAATACTGAAACACCACCGGTTGATGCGTTAACAGGTGCTGTAAATACCCTCCCCAGTTACAGATGGTGACATGCCAGCTCACATGTGAAAGAGCTATATAAAGCAAAATAGCTCATGTGAACATATTTGGGGAGCTGATGCAGCCATTCCCCAAGAGTTCATTTTCATGGAGACTAGGAAGCCAAGCAGGTTGCTGTAGAAGAGGTTCCACAGCAAGTGATGAAGTAAGTTTTTACTGAAGTAGGGAGATATGTTAATCAACCTAATATAATCCAAGCTAAAAACATGCAATGGGAAAAATGAAGTAGAGCATTGTGGTTAGGGTGACGTCATTACAGTTGGGCTACTTTTTCTGCTAAGCATGTATATTGTCTTTAGAATATTAAAAGATGATACAACTGTTAAATCGGTATTTGAGATGTCAGGAAAGGCCGGAATGAAGGCTGGCTCTGCCAGTCAGCATCTCTGCGCCTAGGCTTAAATACAGAAGTTTTTCCCCAGGTTCCATGTCTCCGTTCACAGGCCTGCCAGTGAGCAGTTACCCAGGATTTTGACACCTCTTCTCCGTACCCAGTATATCGTTCCATGGCTTTCTTCTGCACCATGCAGGACCACGCAACTTCTGCTCTCACACTGGTCCATTCACACTTTTGCCCAAGCATTTCATTAACATGCTCGTCATCCAGCTTCTTAACGAGGGTATATAGACAAATCAGACCTCCACTTTTTGGAGGCGTGTGGTGAGATGTTAAGGTCTTTCCAGAAATTTTAGTACCGTTAGTGTTTACATCCAGAATATGGCTCTCACTGACTTCACTGACAGCTGCTGAAGGCTAAGTGTGTTCGCAGGCTGTCTGAGGCTGGGTGCATTGAGGGGAAGCGAAAACATGCCCAGAGGCCATATGTAAAGGTTTTGGGTTACATGACTGGCTTTTACTACATATGAACAGCTCTGTAGTGGCAGGTATAGAACCTAATTGCCAGGAATAATTAAAAGCGCCATTCAGTTTCCTCAGCCATCGTTTCTCTTCTCACAGCTCCCTGTCTCATTCTCTCTGTACCGCGTAGCATAAGGGGGATCCATCCTGCTCCCCTCACTGAGAGCTTTCCACATGGAGCTTCTGTGGCACGTAATTGTACTGGGCACGTAATTTAAGATACTGCTGTAACCAACACAAACAACTGGGTCAAATTAAGATTTCAGAATCAACCTTAGTGCTGGTCTGTCTTAAAACTAAAATCAAGCACTTGGATGTTAGTGTTCCACTAGCAAAGTTTGTTTAGAGGATTTTATTGTATGAATTTCTGTAAAAATCGCCCTAGGTTGTTCTAAGACAACAAAGTGAAAACAGCCCGCTCCATCATTTGGAGGAAGCATACTGGCTCCCACCCGCATGGATCATCGGTTAGGTTCATGAAGGGAGAGCTGCACACTACAGCCTTACCCCTCGAGGTGACCTACAGTAGGAGCTGTTGTCCATGGGAACTGGGAGCAGGTGGTAGCCTTCATGTCAGGGGTTTCCTCTGGCTAACAGCAAAGGAAGGGGGAGTCTAAGAGCATCTAGTAGCTTGGGGGTTAAAAATTCCTACACTGCTATTAGTTGCTCCTCTTCCTCTGTTTTCTCTGCTTCCTCTTTCTAAAATATGCCTCAGGTCCTGCTTCTCCCTCTCCTGCCTCATGCCCTTTCCTGCTTCTCCTCTGCATAACCCCTCCTGCCCAACCTTTATCCTTTTGAGCTCCTGCCCTGGTGCTGCTGCTTGTGCTTTCTGCTCAGCTCACAGGACCGGTTCTCCACTCACACAGAAATTGTGCGTCCTCACCCTTCTCGCTGCCTGGCACCAGCTGAGGGCAGCCTGGGGTGGGCATCGGTCCTGTGGGGTGCCTTCTGGTGCCACCGTGAGCTTGCAGGCACCATGCAAAGCCCTATTCTCTTTGGAGAGTGTAGTTGTCGGTCCCGAATAAGCCACCAGTCTCTATCAGCACCCATGAACTGATATTTTCAGAGGCTCGTAACTTAGCCAGATGTCAGTAGGCTGTTGTGGGAAAGGACATTTCCCTGGAAGAAGCTGTAAAGCTCTAGGGCTTCTCAGTGAGAGGTGGCAAACATTTCTGTAGAGGGGATGAAGCAAAATGCCATTCCCTAACCACATTCTTGAGTCTTGCTGAGCCATCTTAGCTGAAATTTCCACACACAGAAAAGCAGCCTTAGGCAGGCAGCAGTCTCTGATGGGACACTTGAGCACAAATTTGCCAAAGTCCTTTTGCAGGCTTTTACAATGGGAGGAATGAGAAAATCTTACCATAGGCAGGGCTAATATGTTTTTTTTCCTGTCAGCTGCATGTTTGTCCTATGGTTGTTATTAAAGAGCTGGCTTGTGTGACTGTGGGTATATTGTGCTTCATTTAGCAGGAAGACTCGGGATTTTCCAGGAAATGATTGGTTAAAACCCAAATATCTAAATGCTTCAATTCAGTTCACATCTGAACTCTCCATTTACTTTGTAACAGACACTTCAAATATTATCTGCCCTGAAACCAGATTCCCCAGGCTGCCGTGAGGCACCAAAGTGACTGCACTCATTTTCACGGTAGCTGAGCACCCTAGCATCTCCACTTTTCGCTGTGGCTCTCTGCAGCTCCAGAGGATTGTTAACTAACTATCTATCAGCAAACGGTTGGCGTAACCTTTTCCACTGTCTCTTTGCTGGTGAATCCAGCTCAGACTATACCTCTTTTGGCTGTAACATTTGAAGTGAATTATCAGTGAAAGTGTCTTTCACTTTCAAAGGGCTACATTGCTATTGGGATGATCGTATCGCATAAAATAGGTTCCCTCTGCTTCTCCCTCTTTTCTGCAAATATCTGCTGGATATGCAGACAGCTGCATTTTTGGCAGCAGATTCGATGACTTGAAGCTATTCACTAAGAGCCTTAGCCAAGCCCTCAGAAGTCAATACAAAGCCTTCCCTTGACTTTAGTGGAATTGTGCCCTCAAAGCACTTACATGCAGGGAATGAGTGAAACCAATATAATTAAACTTAGAAAATGTATCTGGGTCACTCTGACAGCAAAAGCCATAATGCACTTTTTTCAATCAGTATTTCATATCATTAGTTTTATAGTATGCTGCTTAGTTTGGGGTATTTTTTCCAACTAAAATGATTCAGGAGTAAAGGGATTAATTATATCGAGCAATGCTATTTTTGCATCTTTAGTGTTTGGTTTGGCTTTCAATTATAATCCTCCATTTTTAAAGGTTTAAAAGTTAGTGATAAAACCCCATTCTAGGAATAACTGGAATCAGAACAAAGGACAGACAACTGGTCCCCTGAAAAAAAATTGAAATAGTTTTTCCTAGAGTAGAAAAGAAAAAACAGGCCTTTTTTTTCTTTAAGATACACTGCCATCAAAGCTAAATCTAAGTTAAAAATGAAATTCTGAAAGCATTTGTTATAACAGCTAAGGGTGAGGGAAAGAGAGATAGATCTAAGGAGTAATTTTGGACCCAAGTCTTACAGATAAATGATTGGTATTTCACTTAGAAAAGCGCAGGTTCAATGGGTTTCATTAAAACCTGGTATAGCTGAACGTGCCTTTGTCCCAGTTCTGAGGAGCTCTTGCTGCTTGTGGATTAGACTGGAGCCAGACAACGACAATTCTAATTTTTATCCCAAACTTCAGTTTGTGGATACAAGTCACCTGAGGATTGTTTAAAATGCCTGCCTTTTTCATTAGGAACATTTGTGAAAAAATATTTATGAGGTGGCAACAATCAGACAGGGAATGTATGGGAAAAGAGAAAACATGCTAAGTTCCTGGTTCTGCAAAAAATGTAAGCATATGGTAACCTTCTATGCTTGAGTTCAAAGGGATTACTCTTGTGCTTAAAGCTAAGCCTCTGTTTAAGTCTTTGCTGTATCATATTTTGCTTAGTTTCTAGGTGCCTGCTGTTAGAGATAGGCAGGTAGTGAGATTTGCAAAAATGCCTTAGCAAGTGAGACAACTAAGCATAGCAAAAATCAGATCCACAGAGCAGAGTACATCTCCTCTGACTTTAGCCATCCAGACGTTGAATTTCCAGTCTGGCAGCTTAAGCCCCATCTCTGCTTAGTGCTGAGCAGTGAGAAGGCAGAAGGGGCAATTCATACCATTTACCTTAAGGTGGGATGAATCACACAGCGAAATTGTCTCAAACCGTTGAGGTTAGAGGAAACCTAAGTGACTGATCCAGACGAGCTGTCTGACTCCTGGACAATAAAGATAAATGGGAACAACTTAACTTTACGTTTCCTAATTTAACAAGGTATCTATGTAATTGCAGCTCAACCTTGCTATGTCCCTTGGTCATTTTGGAAGCTTTGCACCCTGACACACAGCATCCTCATTTCTGAATTAGCCTTGGTTTTGTTACAGTATGTTAAAACTTCAAAACCCAGTTCTTGAAATAGTTGTGCAAACAATTTTACTCCATGTCTTGGGGAGAACTAGATCTGGTTCTATGGGCAAATGGCACAAGAATCTGTCTCCTCTTAGAGGAAAAAGAGCTTTTCTACTCATGTGTTTGTCACCAATGTTTATGGGGAGCTCCATAGAAATCACTGCTGTATGAATGGGAGCATCAGGCTTGTAACAGGCCCAGAGAAATCGAGGCCAGAAACAAGTCTGACTGTTTTAAGTGCCCAGCTTGGACATAGTGTCTCTGGACAAACGATCCTCTTTGCCACCCAGTGCCCACTTGAAGTCTCAGCGCCCTTTGTGAACAGGCGCTCAGTGCTAAGGATACTGTGCAAGAGGTGGGCTCCACAACCCCCTCTCATTGCTTCCCTATAAGGTCAATGGAAAGGCAGACACCTGACTTGAAGAGCTTGGCTCATTCTGGAGGTGTTGGTGTGTTCACTATGTAACTGCAAGAGAGAAGTGTCTAAATTCCCCAGACTGGGTTTCATCCTTGGTCTCTGAATCACAAAGCAAGAAAGACTATGGATCGAATAATACTCTTCAAATTCCCATTATTGCTTGTTTGTTTCTTTTCTCATAATTTTATTTTGTAGGAAATATAGCATTAGTAAAGGAAGAGATTTTTTGATGTTAAAAAACTTCTTATAAACAGCTTTAGCTTCTATTTTTGCCCCCCACACATAGATTCGCCCACAGGCAGTTCCCTTGAATTCCTATTCCTGAAAGCTCTGATATCGGCTCTATAAAATGTGTATTTAGGGAAAAGATAATTATTCCCCTTCAGCTACTGTCTCTGTTTACATTTGTCATCTTACTCAGCAGTCTGCCTGTGTTGAGCAGATCATATCAATAAGTGGGTTACTTTTTCAATGTACACTCTCCCAAAACCTTTAAAAAATATAAATAAGAATATTTAGAGATCGTAGGTGACACAGTTTAATACTGAATATTTGCAGTGTGTACTTTGGGTCTCTCTTCCAACAAATTGCATTAAGAGGTTTTAAGTACATGAAAACAAACAAACTGTGCATGTTTATTCATCATATGTTGCCATTTTCAGTACTGAAAGAAAGTGAAAAACCCTAAAGAAGTGGGAACAGGTAAATTAAATCTTTTTATCGGGTAAAAGCTCAAATTTCTTCTTTTTCTTCCTGTTAGCCAAATGCAGATTGTATGGATGATATACCTCCAGACTTGGAAGCATCCATAGGAGGACCGCCAACCAACCAGATAACGGGAGCCAGCGACGTAACAGTGAATGAGAGCTCTGTAGCCCTGGATCCCCCGGTGCGGACTGTGGGAGTACTACAGGTCATCCAAGACGTAGACTCCTTTCCCCAGATTGGGGAGGGTAACTTCACAACAAGCAGTAAGTTCCTCTTTCTGGCAGAATTTGCGCTGAAATAAGTGTTTAGAAACCGGAATCACAAACTGATCTCTAGTGCGGGAAAAATGGCCTTTGAGGGCTTTTCCACTGGAGCATGGCCTTACTTTAAGCCTAGCAGAAATCTACAGGGTAAGTAAATTTAAATATCATGTCGTTCTGCTGTACTGCAAACACTTCCAGCCTGTGTGCAAATCAGTGTGTTGAATAGCAAACTCTAATTGGAGTCCCCTGCATGGACAGAACAAGCTATTTCAGTCAACACAAAACAATATAAACTTATGGTCATCTTCAGATACTGTTTATAGTAAGTCATCCCATTCACCGTGATAACTTGCCACGTATCACCTGGCTTCTTTGCGAAGCAGATTGGTGCATGTCCTTTGGCCTGCCTTTCCTCACTGGGCTACATGTTACCTTGTGGAAGTTATTCTTACCTGCGTATCACAAAATAAATAGAGAACAATAAATAGCAATCACTTTCACTGCCTTCGGTCAAGAAAAAAAGAATGTTGAATTCTGGTTTTGCCTTTCCTTTATCTTCTTACATCAACTGAAGCTCATCTGGTTATTTATTCGTACTTGAACTTCTCATTTCAGAAGGATTGATGGTCAGCGTTCCTGTACTTGAAAACCTGAGCTTAGTGAAATAATGCTGCCAATTTGTACAAAAAAAAGAGAATTTTGGATGTTTTCAATGTATTTCATTTTCACTTGTTTAAGGGACACCATTTGAACCAGTAACTCTCAAAATGTCTGCATGTCTCTCTGTTCCTAAAAATTATGTTCTTTGATGAAAATCTACTTCTAACAGTTTAAAAAGAATGTTGTCAGCTGTTTTGAATGCGGATTGTACTAGCTAAAATTCTCATTTTTAGGTAAAATAGCAGATCAGTTTGACACCAGTTGGTATATTAGTATTGACAAGACTATTGTAGAAAATCATCAGATATACTTGAAGGGAGGTAGAAGAATGTGATAAAATACAGGTTTGTGTATGGAGTCAGCATAGGTCCTGGAACAAATTATGCATTTTCAACCATTTCTAGGTACTACTATGGGCCTGGGCATGAAAAAGAAGGCAAGTAATAATATGATGTGTAAAAGGTAGGAGAAAGATGAGGGGACTAAGTTGAAATGATTTTACGTTAGTCTCCTTACTCGGTGGAGAGGCTTGATAATCACATTTTCCCTCATATTGCAGCCAGTGCCATGGCAGTGAAAATAGCTTCTGGAAATGCTGGACTTGCGACCTCAGCCACAAGTGACCCAGAAGTGGATTTTTAAGTTCTGCCTTTGTGGATTAGGTACTGGTTTCAGGTTTGGTCCTTTTATGGTCTAAGTCCCAGATGCAGCAAGGGGTGAGCAGCAAGGTTATAGGCCCAGCTGTCATCCATGGCCAGCCTGTCAGCTGGTGGCATACAACTTTCTCAAGCCTCCTTGAGTGTTGGCAAGAGCTGTTCAAAACGAGAGGTTATTTTGTTCCTTCCAGTAATTGTTTTTAAATACGTTTGAGGCTGATTTAAACCATGGAGGAAAGATTTACTTCATGGTACCACAATGTAACTAAAGACTGGGCTAGACGCTGGTCTCAGCTGTACCCTCTTAACACTCCTGAAGTGAGTAGCTCCTCTGGCAGATAATTATCCTTGTCCTGCTGTTCTTTACAAGGTCTGCTATTGAAGTTGGGAAGGAGGGCCGTGGTGTGCCCTTTACACCCACAGCTGCATGGCACATGCTGAGAAGAGCTGGCAGCCTGGTGCAAAGCCCAGCACTAGGGGTAGTCCGTGCTTTTCATCCCAGGATCTTGGCACACCGAGAAGCAGTTCTTCTGGTTTGTCGCCAGGGGTAACAATGGTGTTGAGGCAGCCAGGGAGCACAAGAGCTCAGTAACTCTCCAGCCACTCTCTTCCCCTCCAGTTTTGTTTCCAGAGTCTGCGGAAGGATTAGTGTCAGTCCAAACACATATGGTCTTCATTTTCCAAGTTGCCAGCTAAGTCACTGGGTGAAAAACTTGCTCTGAGCCAGCAGAGTACTGCAGGGCCTGCAGAGATGCTTTATTTTGCCTTGATGCCCTCTGTTCTTCCCCTTACCTTTAATAACATTGGGCAATAGACACTAACAGTGGGCAGTCCGGAGGGCTGACAGCAGAGCCCATGGACAAGGAACTCGCACCAAGACCAGTGGTCTATCCAGACACGCGGGTAATGAGGCAGCAAACCATGGAGCTTCAGGAGATCTCCATCACCTGAAAAGGCTGGCCATGAGGTCTGGGGAAGGACTGTGAAAAGGGTTTTTCCCTGGTTATTTGAGAGAGAGAGGGAGAAGAGAGCAGGGAGGGGAAACTGGCACATGGCCTGAACTCTGTGAAGGTTGTGAGCCTCACAACATTACAGGGGTGGCTGGGGACCCACTGCTAAAAACAGACCTTTCCAGTTGTTTTGTGAGGAAAAAGGAGTCCTGAGAAAAGCTCAAAGGACCTTGGGAGCTTCCAAACCCTGGTGTGTGCCTGCCTACGCTGTGCCTGTCACACAGTCACTCAGGGAACTCTGGTTTAATGCTTGGTTAGCTATTGTCATTCACCCATCATTGATATGTAGACATGAATCTTCATCTGGATTTCTCATCTCAAAGTGGAATACAATACTTGAATATTAGTCAGCAGTAGGTGTGCAAGTTTCCATGCTGTCATCACCACATCCAAAGTGGTGCAATTTGCAGTAGTTCCCAGAAACAGAGCTGTTTGGTCCCTTTTTGCAGCAGAGCTGCAGCAAAGAAGAGGTCTTTGGTTGGGAGTTAGGGGCTGAGTTCCAGCAGCGATGGGAATTTGTCCCTCCAGCTGCCTTATGTGGATTTGGGGTGTTCAGGCACTCTGAAAGGTACCACTTAGCATCTTAAGCAGCCTGAACTCTTAAGCCAGTGAAAGTGGAACATCCAGGACCACTGTATAGTTGTGGTATGAAATCAAGTGCTAACTAAATCAGAGGGCAACTGTAGGCTAAATAACTGGGTCATAGCTGTCATATAGATGGGGCTTTATAGGCATTGTGTCTGTTTATTATATTCAGGCATTGTATTTCTCATTTCCAGAATCCTCATAGTTACACAACTGCAGAGCTTGCTGAGCGTGCCCTTTCTGTGAACTAGCCTGCCTGGGAATTTGTAAGCAATGACGCTGATTGCCCCTAGGAATCTTTGCTGAAGCTGCTAGGTTCTGGCCTCTTTATATAGCATTAGTGACGGGAGCACACTCCAGGGCTGAATTTGTGCTAGAAGTTTTTCTTCCTCTTGTTATTGAATCTGTGCAGACTGTCTCCAGTGCAGTCTTGATGTGGCACCCTGTACCCAGCACCGTGAGTCCTTGCATCCCTCCTTATTCCTGGCAAAGTTCAGTGGTCCAGGAGGTAAAGGACTTGCCGCCTTCTTTCCACCCACTTCTGCAATACTTTTTGCTTAATTGTTGTTGCATCCTTTTTCTTTGTTGATTAATCATTTTGATATTGTTGTCTTGTTTTGGGTTTAATTTCCCTTTCTGTGTTTCCAGTGAGTATTCAGAGCCAGAAGAGCTCCCACAGTGTGTCTGGAGGGGAGGATATTTCCAGAGTACTGTTCACATCGGGTGAAATTCTGTCTCCATTGAAATCTGGTGGCAAAGCTCCCACCTACTTCAGTGGGGCCAGATTTTCATTTCTGGAACTCGGCCAGTGCTTTTCTTTTTATTTCTCTGTGTGTGTGCTCAGCAGACATTTCCTCTTCTCTCCCTCCTTTTTTCTTCCCGTGCTCCTGAATAGATAATGTCTTCCATGGGACCCTTGGCGACGTAGTGTACTATGAACATCTGGATGGGACTTCATTTGGGGCCCCATCCCTAGGGTTCCTTGCTAAACCAAGCATCTCCTGTGTAGTAGCACTGAGCACTTAAAAATGGACCAGCAGCTTCTCTCAGCTGGCTTCTACCAAGATCCAAGCCTTCACCTAGTCCCTTGGGTGTATCTACAGCCCAAAGTCTGTTCAGTATTTAGTCTTAGTGACTGTTTGCTCTCTGTGGTGGGATTTTGTGCAGGATCCTGGGATAGTATCTTGTAATGTGGTATTTTTGTAATCAGTTGCTGAAAGTGGATGGATGGAAAAATTTAAAAACTGGGGTTGGAAAAAAGAAAGGGGGGGGAAGGGTAAAAAAATTGTGTGAAATACATAAAAGTTCATCTCAGCTGAGTTTCCTGCTTTGACCCTATTACTTTTCAGCTCTCCAGAGGGTATGAAAGAAGATAAGCTAAGGATCTTTTTCCACAATAATGCATCGTAAGCAATCTGTGTTGCCTAATTTTCAGTAGTGAGTTATGAAAAATGCTAACATCTTTGGAAATTTCAGCGCAGGTGGAATTTCCTGCTCTACAGATGATGTGAGTGTGAGCTGGACTTGGCTAAGATCTGAACTTGAAGAAGCTCTGAACTGCACCAGCTTTGGAGGAGTGGAAGGTGGATTTGGAATTTGAGGAGGACATTGCAATATTCTTTGGGTCAGGCTCAGCTGGGATTGAATGATATGGTTAAAAAAGGTAGTTTGCTGGGAAAGTAGCATCTAGATATTTTAAAGGTTGTATGGTGACACTTGCAGGGGAAAAAGTAGTTAACAATTTTTTTCATCTTTTATAGCATCCATAGTCGTTCACCACCCTCAACCCATGTGGCACTTGCTAATTTCTGCAGTAGATAATGTGCACTGCCGGAGTCTTTGCCCTCTGTTGGTAAATACCTCTAGTTTTTCAATTTAGACAAGCTTTTATATTCTCTTCAGCAGGATATCTCATCACACTGCATAAAGCCTCAGAAATCCCACCAGCACTGTCTCTGTAGTTGGAGGAAGATCCTTAAATAATTATACTGCAAACATGGGCAGGAGTTTTAGTATGAAAAACCACAAACTCTCCCCCGAGGTGTCATATACCTGCAAAGCCCACCAAGTTTGATGGGCTGTACAGCAG